ACATCTTATTTATTTATTATAAATTAAAAAAAAAAAAAAAAAAGGAAAGCTGAAACCAACAATCCAGTTTTATTTTCTGTTTCTGCTTTCCTCAGCTTGTTTCCTGTTATAAACCAACCTATTGCCAGGTGTGGCATGGCCTTGTAACCCCATTACTGTGGGAGGCTGAGGCAGGAGGATCACATTTTGAGGTCTGAGCCCAGCCTGGACAATTTAGCAAGACCCTGTCTCAAAAACAAAACTCCAAAACCCCCAAAATGCAAAAACCCAAAAAAGGGCGGGGGGTGTGAAGGCCCTGGTTTCACTGCCCAGTAACCACAAAAACCGACCTCTTAAGAGGCCGGCGGTATGATTCAGTGTATAGCCTGTGCTTAGCAGCATATGCAGGGCCCTGGGTCACGAGCCCACACAAAAACCAAGAAAAAAATTAACAGAATGAGATGTTGTTGGATTCTAGACTTAAAAATAGTCAACAGCCAGTGAAGATCCTTAAGTTCAATTTGCTGTTCTTTTATCCTCTTTCCAGTACTGGGGATTGAACCTTCACACTGTGCTCTGTCCCTACGCCTTTTTCACGTCTGACTTTGAGATAGGGTCTTGCTAACTAACTGAGCTGCCCAGGCTGAGCTCGACCTTGTGACTCTCCTGCCTTAGCCTCCCAGTGTGACAGAATTACAGGGATGCCCCACCATACCTGGCATAATCCCACTCTGTTCCTATACACCTATATTGACAATATCTTAGTGGTTCTGCTTCTCTGGAGAACCCTCACTCGGAACAGGTGGGTGAAGTTTTCTCAGCCCGCTCCCACCCCATCTTACCGTCACAGAACTCTAGAAAGGTGCAGCAGCTCATTCAGAGGTTCCTATTTCTACAGATTACATAAAAACACAATGAAAATTTAGTAGGTGCTAAAACTTGGTTTTGAATTTTTATTAAAAAAATATATTTGCAAACATATAAAATTTAGGATGAAAAATGCTCATTTTAAAACATGTAATAACTTAATATTTGCAAACATACACAGATGGTATAAAATCCATACCATTTAAAATGTTAATGATGCAGTATTGCGCTCAAGGAACAAAAAACCTTGCTGTCAGTCCACAGCTTCTTGCCCCTACATCGCAGGGAGCTGGGAATCTGGTGCAATGGAAGTCACGAGAGCCACATGGCCGAAGCAGTAACACAGCATAAAAAGACCATTAGAACACATATTTTAAAAACACGTTTCCTAAGGATTCACACAGATAAAAGGGAAACACATGTGGCGTCTTCCCCACTTCAAAGTGATCGATATTGCATCTTAGCATTTTAAAGAAAGATGTCAAATCCAAATCTGAGTGAAACATTGCACGTATCTCTCCTGCTGAAATCTGCTGATAAACAGGCTTCTTGAGGCCCTGGCTCACTCATGGAAATGTTCTCAAGCACTGCTTTTAAAAAGCCTACTGTAAATAGCTTTGCTCCGCTCAGATCTTAACGTTTTAGAAAATGAAAACACGGCACTATCGCTTCCAGAAGGTACTCTGAACACAGATGAAGAAAACCAAAGGTAGGCAGAGAAAGAAACGCACTCCACAGTGAATGCAGCAAGGACGCGGGACACGAGCCTGTGAGCTCACCGGTGCCTGGGCCACCTCATTCCTCCCCGAGTTACAGTGCGATGGCTTGCTTTGTTACTTAAGCAGTTAGGCACCTTCAGTTTCATGTTGCATTATCAGTAATACAATGGCAGTTATGGCCTCTACTATCAAAAGGAGAAAAATTCAAGCTACATTCTTTGGGGGAGGAGAGTAATAAAGCTGCAACGTTTAAAAATATTTACCTAACAGTGGATCTGGTGGGGTTTCTGCAAGAAAATACAGGCCAGAAATAGAACAAATGCTTGGAAATTCAAAATCTATCAGACACATTCTAACTTAGGCCTGCGCACCCTCCTGGAGAGAAGGGTCTGGGGGACTTGAATTCTGAACAAAACACCACTCTGTTCAAGGTAAGCTGTGGGCATTCCACATGCAGACTGTATGAAATGCTTCTGATACTGATGGTCACTTGAAAACTTAGGACCCAAAGTCAAGCAGGCCAACTTTTACACCTCACAAATCCCAGGAGAGATGTGCAAGAAAGAGGAATAAGGCCATCCGGGAGGTACACAGGTCTGTGTGGTTTTTGTGTCAATTCAGACATTGCTTTACAACATAAAGAGTAGCGCCACCCACTGGTGATACCTTACACACACCACACTTGGGTTGCTGCTAGAGCCTACACTTGGCTGCAGAGGTCAGGGGATGGGTGCATGAACAGGTGGACAGAGTGGTCTAAATGCAGGTCTCCTGGGGGTCTGCAAAACCTAGCAAGAAGCATCTCCATCCTGGTGTCCACTTCCGTTCTAAGTTTCCAGTGAAGACGTGGCAGCAATGTAAATGTGCAACCTAAGCTAGCGTGAGGTTCTGGACAGTAAGCCCGAACAAGGAATAAGGCAACTGAACTGTGACTGTCAGGCCAGGGTCATCCAACTGCAAGTGTCCAGGATTGGCCTGGCTCTCTGGGGACTCATTCTGGCCTGAACTTCCTGGTAATCATGACCACAAACTTCTGGCTTCTGAATTGTAAGTGAATACTTTGAATATATAAACTTGGGAGTTGAAACAGGTTTACCCTTTTCAAGTCTCCATGACTTGGGCACTTAAAAAGTTTACTTTCACACTAAGGAAGCCTTATCATAGATCTTCTTTTACTCTCATATTCATTCCTAGGATTAAAGGGTGAAAATTAATAGACTGATTATAGACCCTCTCTTTAGGGTATTCTCTTTTACTCTCTCATATTATTAAACATACTGAAAAGCATCATTTAAATTCAAGCATCTATGGTAACGAGAATCCCTTGATTCATGTTCACTAAAGCCTACTGCAACTACACTTGGGGCATGATCAAACCTTCTGGTAAATTCATTTTATGAGAAAGCCACATGGCTTTTTGGATACCATGTCCTGGTGTCAGCAACACTCCTTATCTTACCATGACTTTATCTTACTGTAACTTTTATCTTTCCCAGATGATGTGTGAGCAATTCATTTTTGGTTACTGAGTTTATACACTATCTTTGAAAACAAACTACTCCTAATAGAGTATGAAAACTTATAAGCTTCCTGAATTCTACACAATTCACACGTAACTAGGTAGACAGTAGAGAAGACACTAAACTGAGCAGAAACACTGTCTAGAAAGCCTGTTTAGATCAAAAGAAGCCAATCAAATGAAGTATTCTTTATGCTAAAACACTAAGACCAAACTAAAGTAAGTACGTAATTCACAATTTCCTACAATTTCAGCTAGAAAAAAACCCCTACAGATTTATGATTGAGTTACCATTAAAGCTTAAACAATTGTTCCCAAGGAACCATGACATCTGTCAGCATTATTCACAGCTAATCCTTATGCTAGCTGGTTGAGCCAAGTGGGTTTTTACCCCATCATTAAATAGTACTCAGGAAGGTAAGCAGTGCATCTTAACTGGTTAAATACTACAAAATGACCTGTATCATGGAAATGAAGACACTTTCATTTAAAGAACATCTTAAAATTACTATTGCTGAAATAAATCAAAATCTACATTAAAATATTACTGAACACCATTACATGTCATAAAAGAATAAATATAAATCATGGCAGATCAATAGCAGCATAACAAAGCATCTTTACACATTTTCACACTTTGGGCTGGAAAAGTACTCACAGCCTAGGAGTACACTGGTAAAGTTCTGAATCTCACACTTTCTTTTAAACTCTATATTCTACAACAAAGTAAGGGCAGTGTGAATAACAGTTCCCCTTTCTGCATAGCTTTTAAACTGTTCTCGGTACACTTGAGGAATGGAACCAGAATGGCTTTGTCAGATTGGTCCACTGGTCCTTCGTCAAAGTGTTAAGGGATACAATAAACAACAACTTCTAACTGTGTTTCGACAGAAAAGGAAAATAAGGCTGTGTTTCACACACAAATTTAACATTTCCCAAACCACTGGAAAGTTTAACTTAAAATGAGAATGTCTGGTAGGATCCAGGCATTCCCAGCCCCAGCCTGTTTCGAATTCCGTGTCACTACAGATCTCAGAAGGACGCTACCTCAACAGCAATGCTGCGCTGGTGCCTGCTGCACGGCCGGTGTGGGGACACTAAAAACAAAGCGCAGGGAAATTTCAGAATTTTACAGGCCCAAAAGGCAGCACACATATAAAATATACTTCACTTGAACAAATAATTCCTAATTTATGACAAACTTGATCCTTTAAAACCTGATGCTACTTTTAGAACTGCTCATCACTTGGCCATCAGCCTAATACTGATGTGTCCAGTGCGTGGGTGGGCAGGGGTGCAGGCTAGGCTCGATTTTGCTGCAAGGCTGGCGGCTCCTCTCCCTAAGTCCTTGAAAATAAAAGTGAGCTGAAAACCAGACTCCCTATTTCACGTACTTCCACACAGCTGATGAAAACACCCACAGAACACAATGGTCTTCTTGTTTTGTCAAAATAAAAGTCTGCTGGTGATGCTTCACAGTGAAACCTCCATTATCACCAAGAATGTCACTGGAAACATTCTTAAGGACTGAGTCTCTTCCTCATAGGCTGAACTGCAGAATTCTCAAAACTCCATGTTCTACTTAGAAAGAAGTTTCCAAGATGAAACCTCTTTGTTTTTGAGGTTGACTCTCTGCCTTCAGATTTATTCCACTCCAGTCATAGGTTGTGATTGTCTTTGTTCTTGGTCAGAACTTGCAGGTAAACTTCATGAAGTCTACTGAGGAAGCTGGAATCATTCTGGAAGAGATGGAGAAGGTAAGGACATCAACCTTACATTTACCTCATCAGAACTTACTTCTTTGATAACAGGAACAAACCGTATAAATGACTGGTAAACTAATTTACCAATTACCCAAATAATCTCATCACCCAGAGACAGTCATGATTGACACTGTGGAGTTTACGAGGTTATTATTCCATCAGAAGTGTTAACTTACGAAGAGAGAGAGACATTACTCACAGGTAGTGTTCTGAATCTGTAAAAACTTATAAAATTAGTTTTCTATTATTGAGGAATTAAAAACATCAAGACTGCAATGATATCCTACACACCTTTATTAGATGTATCAATGTATCCTGGAGCTGAGACTTGCTGAGAATAATGGAAGGCTTTCTCTGATCTTCTGGTGTTCCGATGGTGAGGGGAGAAGGGCAGCCTGCCTTTCTTTCAAGGTCTGTGGACCTCGGAACAGTCTGCTGGAAAACACTTGGAGACAGCAGGACCGAAGATACTGCTGTGGTTGTCGCAGTGACCAATGGAGCGCCTGCAACCTGTGTGTGGGGGGCAACAGTCATTCTGCATCCTGTGGAAGCGGGCAGCTGGCCCAGTGCAGGGGACATCTGGTAACAGGCACTAGCAGTATGAGGGTAAAGCACAGTGTACATTCTCTCCTCCCCCCTCCCCTCCCTCTCTCCCTCCCTCTGTATTGCTGGGGATTGAGCCCAGGCCCCTATGCATGCTAGGTAAGTACTCTACTAAGCTACACCTCTAGCTCCCAAACACTAACTCTTTTGAGTTCAGAAAAACATTCAGTAGCAACACTTGAACATTTTAAGCTGATCAGTGGCCCACATCTGTAATTCCACCACTTGGAGCGCTAAAGCAGATGGATCATTGGAGTTTGAGGCCAACCTGGGCTACACAGTGAGTTCAAGGCCAGTCTGAACTACACAGAGACTCTGTTTCAAAAACAAACAGGAGGGCTGGGGATTTAGCTCAGTGGTGCTGCCGTCTGCCTCGCAAGTCAAGGTCTTGAGTTCAATCCGTGGTACCAAAAACAAAACAAAACAAAAAAACAGGGCTTGGGATGTAGCTCAGTGGTACCATGCCTGCCTGGCATGCACAGGGCGCTGAGTTTGATCCACAGTACCAAAAACAGTCAGGAAAAAACAGTACTGAAACATCTGATCTGGTTATGACGCTCCTGTTAGCTAACAGATGAAGAGTCCCCTTATAGAAGAATGCCCTAGAGCAGTGATGGTGACCCTTTCAGAGCTTTCAATGGTAACACACAGCTGCCTGGAGCACGTGTGCCATAGGCTTGTCACTACTGCCCTAGAGTCATCAAGGGAAGCCAAATCCAACCACCGCTGAAGATGGTTATGCGAAGTAACAGTATGGCACACACAGTGAGAACAATCCTATGATAAAAGCAAAACTTTCTTGGGATGGAGCCAAGGAAATGACTGGACAAAGATATGATGAAACTTTCTGCAGTGATGAAACTATTACCTGTTTTGAATGGCCTATCCCTGTTTTTTCCTGGCATGAGGGACTGAACACGGAACCTTCAGACTAAGCTGCATCCTCAGTACTTTTTATTTTTGGAGAAGGGGTCTAGCTAAATTGCCCAGGCTGGGCTTAAACTTGGGATCCTCCTTCCTCAGCCCCTAACAATATCGGGATTAGAGTGCATACATCACATCCAGCTGGACTGCTGCTTTACCCAGGGGCTATTATATACATGTGCTAGAACTCATTAAAAATCTGATTTTATTGTATGTAAATTATAATAAAAAGAGACATTAAAAATTAAGTCCTGGGCTGGGACGTAGCTCAGTGGTAGAGCATTTGCCTTGCTTGTGCAAAGGTGGTCCTAAGTTCCAGTATGGCAAGACAAAAAACAGCTAGTTATACGCTAACAGCTACCTACCTCCTCTATTTAGACATGCTTTTGTGCTAATTACAGTTAGCAATCAAAGTACACTAAACCAGTATTGTGGGTATTTTAAATAATTCTCACATTTGATATACATTCTCCTCCCCTCTTTTCTGGGGGTGCTGGGGATGAACCAAGGGCTTGACACATGCTAAGCACACGCTCTATCTCTGCGTTACATGCATAGCCCCTCTCTTGCTCTTACATTACCTCCTCATTTACCAAGGGCAAAGAGCCTGCCAGAGTTTTATGGCTCAGGTTCTTGATATCTGAGCCATTTATCTTGTTTTTTGGTGTAAAACCAGGCTGAAAGTTCTTTGCTGATTACCACAGAACAGGACAAACCACCCAAAACCAGGCAGGTGTGATATGCTCAAACTAAAAAGGAGTATGACATAAAAAGAATTGAGGGCCGGGGATTTAGTGCAGTGGTTCCACTACCTGCCTTGCAAACACAATGTCCTGAGTTCAATCCCTGGAACCAAAACAAAATAAAGAATTGAAAAAAGAATGTTGATTTCAAGGTTGGTGAGTAATGGAGAGTAGGGGACAACATATGTAAAAATGAGGCCCAACCACGCGTGGTCATGCACACCTGTAATCCTAGCACTCGCGAGGCTGAGGCAGAAGAATCATCTTGAGTTCAAGGCAAGCCTGGACTAATAGCAAGACTCTGTTTCAAAAAATAAAATTAAAAAAAGGCCTGAAAGGATAAACAAGGAACAGAGTACTGTGGCCTGGTAGGCTTCATCATCATAGCAATGGGAAATGAAGGGTTGTGGCAGAATTGTGGCTCTGTCACATGGAGCCATACAGCTCTTCCAGCTCTTTCTCTATTTAGAGAAACCAGGTTAGATGGGTGTGTAATCCGGTAATCCTAGCACTTCAGGAGGCTGAGGCAAGAAGATCATAAGTCAATCCAGCCTTGGCAACTTAGTGGCTTAATAAGATTCTGTCTCAAAAATAAAAAAGGGCTAGAGATGTAGCTCAGCATGAAGGCCCTATGTTCAGTCCCCAGTACTGCAAACATACACACACACACACAAACTGGAAAAGAAAACCAGAAAAACCAGGTTGACACTCTGAGCAGTCACTGACTCTGCCATCTGTGTACCCCAGCCCACCTCTATCTAGTCAGGAAGACATCACAGAGGAAGGACGAGGCCCAGAGTCATAGCAATGAGCTCTACCTGGGTGAGCAGAGCGGCCCGTCTAAGACGGGAATCGGAGAGGAGCCTGGGCTTGAAAACTAAACTTTTTCACTAATGTGACATTAGCTAGCTGACTTCATATCCAATAGAATTTAGAATGTATTTTTCAGGAAAAGGGAGTTCTTACCGGGATGGCACTGGATAACACCTTAGGCTGGGCAAATACTTCAGGATCCTGGTTTTGCTGCATAGACTGAAATGTTTAATGGGAAAAGGTTAACAGATGTAGCACATTTCCATTAAGACTTCCTGATTACTGGTGAAAAATCTAGGTTAGTCATAAGGATCAGTTCAGCATTAACCAGTTCTAAGGGTGTGGAGGGAAAAGGCTGACAGGAAGGAAAGGGCATGGGCAGAGCTAAAGAGAAAGCTGAAACCTTAAGTTTCTTAAAAGAGCCAAGGTCAATCCAGGCCAAGTTTTGCTGCTGAGTACAGATGACAGATCTTGGTAGACTGATGCACTTTTTCTGTGTGCTGGGGATCAAATTCAGGGCCTCACACATGCTACAGAGCGTTCTTCCGCTGAACTTCATCTCTGACCCTAGCCTGAGGTCTCTTGGTAAAGTTAAACTTCAGTGGCACTAAACAGTCTTCACTGCAGGCACACTTCCACACACTCCATTCTGTCTGGGCTCGGTCTTATTAATGGATTAATTCATTAATAATCCACAACCAAATGAACCACTGGGATATGGTATAACTGTACCAGGTGGGGCCAAGTTGGAGCACGTACAGTAGGTCACTGTGGGCATGTGCTGGCCACAGTGCTGGTCTATCTCGTCTGACCCCTTCCTTGTTCCCTCTCTACTTCTTGAACACCATACTCTTCTACCATGAGGTCGTTTCACCACAGGTCCAGAAACAATGGAGCCAAATGACAACTGGACCAAATATTTGAAACTGCGAGTCAAACTTTCCTTCTTTAAACCGATTTTCTCAGCTACTTTGTCACAATGACAGAAAGCTAACCAGCACCAATTTCTCCTAGCCATGATGTACTTCATACCACTCTTCATACAACTTGGCTTTGACTCCTGTCAGCCAAGGTCAAGGTTTTGCCATTTTATCCCACCCACAGCTTCCTGCCATTACCTGAAGGGGAGCAAGCACCATGTTGCTCAGGGAGGCTGAGGCCACTGCTCTTGCTGCTGCTGTCTTTGAAGGAGGCTCTATGAAGCTCTCAGGTGTGGCGAGGTGGCCGGCTGCTGGAGGAAAGCTGGGTGCTATTGCACCTTTCCCAAGTGGCTGTGTCTGTATTTGGTCGTGCTGTGGAGTCAATCTGAGTTTTTGGAGAAGGTCAATGCTAGGGAGGGATGTACTAGCTGTGTTTGTCACGCTCAGGGGGGCTCTGAAGGGGCTCTGGCTGGCAATCAGACTGGTGTGGCTTAGCTCAGGGACTGGCTGGTTCAGGAGTGGAGACCTCCGTCTAGGCGTGGTTTTCACTGCCTGAATTATGTTGCTATTCCGAGGTAAAGCAGGGACAATTTGTGCAGTAGCAGCTTCGGCTGGCAGAGTGGGGCTGAGCACAGGGCTCAAGGGGATCGTGTAGCTGGGGGCATGCCTCTCACTAGACTGTGCGATTGAAGCTGGAGTGATGAGCACTGGCGGGGAGACTTCAGGCTGGACTGTGTGGTGAGTGGCTGAATGGACACTGAGGTTTTCCGGCTGAGTGGCTTCTCCAGAATGCTCAAAAGGAAATGGGAGGAACGAGCTGGGTTCTTTCTGGAAGGCATCTCCTGGCAGCTTCTCTACTTCGTCTGAATCCAGACCCATCACTGCTGGTTGTTCCTTTGGCAAAGAGGTTCCAAATAACTCTTCCACGGTCAGATGTTTGTGTCCAGATGGAGCAGACTGAAGAACAAATCAGACCACCCAATGAAAATCTCTGGAAACCAGTGCAACCAAACTCCTCCATCAACCAAGAGTCCTTTTTATTTTTTGAGTCAGTGACTTGCTAAATTGCCCAGGCTGACCCCAAACGTGTGGTCCCTTTACCTCAAGCTCCTAAGCAGCTGGGATTACAGGCATGATCGAGCACACCTGGCTCATGATTTATTTATTGTTATTGTTCCTGATAAAAAAGTTAGCACTGTATCTCAGGGACTGGGTCCCAAATACTTAACAAATTCAATACAGAAAAACAAATTTAATCACTTAATAACACAACTTAATAACACAACTTTCCTCCTCCCTACCCCCAAATAAGTAAAGTGGAAGAAGAAGCACACCCTGGTATCTGTATACCAGGCAGTGGTGCCACCGTGTAGGCAGGCAAACCCCAGAAAGGGCTCCAGCTGGAGAGGAAAGGGCAGCTGAGGCGAGACGGGGACACACCTGAGGTCTTTGTGGGACATCCGGAACGTGGAGTCACTAATGTGGAAATTGCTACAAGACAAAAATGGCCACACAGCACTGGGGATTTAGCTCAGTGGTGCCACTACCTATGTCACAAAAATGGCCATACCAGTTCCAAGAGCAAAGGCATCTCCTCAGGGTATTACAGGGACAAAGCATCAGCACCCTACCAAACACCAAGAGGCAGGCCTTGAGCAGCACGGCCACTGCCTGGCTCTGCTTCTTTGTAGCAGTGCAGGCTGGGCAGTCATTCATTTCTCAGTCCCAGCTCTTCTGTGAAGCAGGGAGGGCTGATAGGAGGTGGAATGCATGGAACCCAGCATATAGGAAGTGCTCATTTAACGTTAGCACCTGTGCTATCAACAGTAGAAAGTAAACTCTTCCAATGCAGGGGCCGTCTCTCATTTATTCCCTGATGCTTGGTCTCCCTCCTCCTGGGCACACCCACCTAGAAAACAGTATCATCACCCAGTACCACAGATCCAATAAATGCTCAATAGTTCTCTCTCCCCAGATTCTCCCAGGGGAGAGGGGTTAGCATGAGAGAGGAGATCTCTGGGTAAGGGGTCCCCAAGTCCAGGGAAAGAAGGCCAACAGCCAAGACTGATGATGCAGGGGTTTACATGTTAAGGCAGTGTCATTTTAAATTTTTTTCTCCAGGGTAAGGACAGTGTCATCTTTTACCTGAGAGGTAGGAGGGTGGGTCTGAACAAAATGCAGTTGCTGTGAAATAACTGTTGTGGAGGAAGAGGCAGAAGATTCCTTCAGTTGTAAAAACTATAGCTTCATCAGGTGGCAGTGACTGAGCGTGAAGCGAGGGCAAGAGCAGTGGCATCTGCATCTGCCACGTGTGATGAAGCTGCCCCGCTGTGCTGCGCTGCACTGTGCACCGCCTATGCTCTGCCCTCCCGGGAGGGGCGACAGGGGTGGCCAAGGAGCGCAGACCAGCAATGGGATGGCAGATGAATCGCCCAACATGCTGGTGTACAGAGAGAATTATTACACACTTGACAACAAGAGAAAGGAAAGAGAGAAAGGAATAGCAATGAAAATTAAGTTTGTTATTTCAAATCTTTGAAAACTAATTGGAAGCAAAAGACTGAGTGCTGATTGGAACACCCTGGACACAAAATCTAAACGATGCCGGGTATGGTGGCACACACCTGCACTCGCAGTGCTGAGGCAGGAGGATTTTAAGTTTAACCCAGGCTACACAGAGAGCAGCCTGGATTACATAGCGAGATCCTGTCTCAAAAAACCAAAAGATCTAAACATTATAAAAGAAACACTTTTTTGGGAGATAAAATAGCTAAAACTCTTGATGACATAAGTGTAGGCAATGTCTTTCTAACTGCAACTCCAAATGCAGGAGAAATAGTACCAAGAATTAATAAATCAGGTGCTCGCTTCGGCAGCACATATACTAACATTGGAACGATACAGAGAAGATTAGCATGGCCCCTGTGTATAGATTACACGTAAACTCGTAAACTCGTGAAGTGTTCCCTATTTTTGAGAACCAAGACCCGTCATGTAAAGGTACAAGATCCCAATAATGAATGTAACTGTACTGTATACCTAAAACGTACCAATAAACTCAATTAAAAAAAAGAATTAATAAATCAGTATCAGATTGAAGAATTTCTGCACAGAAAAGGAAACAACCAACAGATGAAGAGATAACCTACAGATGGGGAAAAAACATTTGCCAGCTCTTCTATGGTAGAGGACTAATATCTAGAATATATAAAAAAATTAAAAAAATCAGACACCCCTGCAAAATGAAAAACCCAGTCTCAAAATATGGGCAGCTGAGCTGGGTGTAGTGGCGCACGCCTATAATCCCAGCACTCCTGCTGAGGCAGGAGGATCGCTGTGAGTTTGAGATCAGCCTGGGCTGCATAGTGGGTTCCAGGTCAGTCTCAGCTACATAGTGAGACCCTGCCTAAAAAAAAAAAAAAAAAAAAAAAAAAAAAAAAAAAAAAGGGCAGCTAAAAGGAATAGATACTTCTCAGAAGTACAGAAGTACAAATGGCCAGTAAATATATGTAAAAGTCTTCAATGTTGCTGGCTTTTAGAGAAACGCAAATTAAAACAGCACGAAATTCTACTTACAAGCTGGGTGTGGTGGCGCACGCCTGTAATCCCAGCACTCGGGAGGCTGAGGCAGGAGGACTGCTGTGAGTTTGAGACCAGCCTAGGCTACATAGTGAGTTTCAGGTCAGTCTCAACTACATAGTGAGACCCTGTCTCAAAAAAAACAAAACAAAACAAAACAAAACAAAACACCAAAAACCAAAAAACCGATTCTACTTACTTCAGAAAATATAGCTATTCTAAAGAAGCCAAATAATAACAAATGTAGCAAGGCTGTAGAGAAAAAGGAAACTTTTGATATTGTTGGTAGGAATATAATCTATTAAAACTACCACGGAAATCAGTATGGAGACACTTTAGATTGAGGCTAGAAATTCCATTAGACCCAGCTACTCCACTTTTCTTTTCCCCAAAGAATTAGACATCACATTACAGTGATGTGTGCAAACCCATCTTTATAGCAGCATAATTGGTAATAGCTAGGTCTTGAAAGTGGACTGTAGTTCCATCAACAAATGAATGGTTAAAGAAAATGTGGTACTTATGCATAATTGAGTACTACCCTGCTATGAATAAAGATAAAATTGAATTCTCTGCAGGAAAATGGATGCACTTTGAGACCATAATGTTAAGTGAAATAAATCAGACATACAAGCCTAAATATCACATGGCTTCTCTTATGCAAGAAACCCAAAATATAAATGAAGATAAAAGATAGATAACAGGGCAAGCACAAGGTCCTGAGTTCAATCCCCGGGAAGAAGAAGAAGAAGGAGGAGGAGGAAAAGGAGGGGTAGGGGTAGGACGAGGACAAGGACAAGAAGAAGAAAAAAAGAAAAAAGAAGGAGAAGAAGAAAAAAAAGATAGAAATACGAAAAATAGGGCTGGGGATTTAGCTCAGTGGTTCCAGCGCTTGCCTTATAAGCACAAGGACCCGAGTTTGATTCTCAGTACCTTAAAAAAAAAAAAAAAAAAAAAAAAAAAAAAAAAAAAAAAAAAAAAAAAAAAAAAAAAAAAAAAAAAAAAAAAAAAAAGAAAAGAAAAGAAAAGAAAAATAGATCCTTTGCAAATGAAATGGGAGAGACCAAGAAATGGAGGGAGCTTGTCAGCATGAAGAATAAGATAAAATCTACCTTGTTGTTATACTGCTATGCTCACCAATCAATAATGAGTTTTGTCCTCTTAAAATCCATGTATACCATGAACTCAGAACACGAACCTGTCTTGAAATAGGGTCTTTGCAGGTGCCATTAGTGCGGATCTTGAGATACAATCATACTGGATTTAGGATGAGCCCCAAACCCAATGACTACCATCCTCATAAAAAGAGGAGAGGACTCTCATGAGGAAAATACTGTGTAAAAATACAGACGAAGATGGGAATGCTGCTACCCAAAGCTAAGGAATGCTGGAGCCCCCAGGAGCTGGAACAGACAAGGCAGGGTCTTCCTTAAGACTCTGGAAGAGTGGCCCTGCTGATGCTTTAATTTCTGAATTCTGACTTTTTTTTTTGTTTGGTATTGAGGATGGAAATAGGAATCTTGCACTGCGAGGCAGGTGGCAGAACCACTGAGCTAAATCCCCAGCCCAATTTCTGACTTCTGGACGCTGGGGAACTGGAAAATAATTTTTTGTGGTTGTTTTAAACCACAGGATTTGTGGTAAATTGTTGTAACAGCCATATTTTTCCTTGACTTTCCCCCAACTCTCCTCTAGAAAGATGTCACTCAGCCATGCATTGGAGTCTCCTCTGGAGGGCCTGTAAAAAGATGTATTTCTGGGTCCTAAACCCGGTTCTATACTCAGCAAATTGGAGATTTTGAGCTGGGACCTAGACTAGCTCAGTCGATTTGCATCTCTTTTCTTTTCTTTTTTTGGCACTGGGGATCGACCTTGGGCTCTTGAGCTTGCAAGGCAAGTGAAACCACTGAGCTAAATCCCCGGCGCTAGATTTGCATTTCTACCAATTTCTCAGCAGATGATTCGGATGATTTTGAACTGGGAAAGAAACTTTGAGCACTGCCATTCTCTGGTGTAAGCCTTTGAGGAGTGGGACCAAGTCTGTCTTTATAAACACTGTGTCTTTGGCCTGTAGCATGGAGTCTGACCCATGGTATGCAATCATTAAATACGTGTGGAGGGAAATTATTAAAGTGGTAGTTTAAAAAACTCTAAAAAACCACCCAAAACTATAGCTTCATGTCAAACCATTTTATCTCAGAATATAATAAAGAGAACTCTGTTAATAGTATGTCTTGGCAAGTTAATGTGACAAGAGGCTTTTGTTTAAGTGAAGAGACTCTCAAGTGGCAAGTTCAGGACTTACCGATAATACTACATAGTGAGACAGACTATCTGTCATAACACTTTCTAGCCCTTCAAAGGATTTTTCATATCAC